ACTTTCTAGAAGTTAAATGAAAGAAGGTTTACCAAATTCCACATCTTTCTAATGCAGGACAGTCTGACTCATGTTCAGTAAAAAAGTTCTCAGAGGGAAGTAATTTGTAACCTTCTTACAGTGAGGTAATATCACAGGGAAACTGCACTCACAGTGCACAGAACAGAAACATGAAATGCTGGATGCGCACCCAGAAATGCTACTGCTGTCTGTAAAGTCAGTGAATATTTCTGTTGCTGTTTTTATAATAACACTTAACTGAACACTTCATTTAATAAATACCAAAGTGGGTTTCATAGCTGTAAATGGTGTACACTTAAAAACTCTAGACTGGTCTTTAAAGGGCCCAAACCATTCACTTTGAAAACAGAATCTAACTTTCTAATCATATAATTGAAAATACGGAGTTTGTTAGGAACAGTCATTTCTATACAGTTACATGGGTGATTGAAACCACCTATATTTGGAAAGCTGGCAGTTTGTACACGATTTTAACAGCATGGACAGAGATGTAAGTGCTAGATGCCAAGGATGGCTTCAACAAACCCAATAAGGCGTGCCAGGTTCCAAGGCTACCATAATACTGGCAAAGGCAGAATAACACGGTATATTTACAATGCGGATAATTCACCTCATGAGGTTGACCTTAAATGAATTCTTATTTTGTAACAGCAGCTATATATACAGTTGTGCACAGGATTACAGGGAGGCAGCAGCTGTTTGCTTTTGCTAAAAAGCCCGTCTTGCGTGAAGGATGTGCAATGCTCAAGTTTTGTATGTTTATTAGTCTGACAGAATGTGCACAAAGGACACAGGGAAGACTCCTTTCCTCTCCGGCTGTCCTTCGATGTGGCCAATCTGCAACAAAGGAGACAAACATGGTTTAAGGACTTCCCATTTATCCCATACAACCACCACGCACTTCCTTCTACGTCTCAGAGCAAGTGAGCTGGGGTCCTGCATGTTTCGCCCCATGCCATGTAAACCCTCCACCAGCTGACCCAAGTCAGCTAACATTTGGCTTTATATAAAGATCAATAATAAACCATCCAAACATAGCTTAACTGATAAACAGAGGCATGAATAAAAGCATGTAGAATGAAACAGAATTAAAGGACTGTCACTGGAATAGGAGGCTGGCAAAAGTCTAGTATTTCACTGAATTGCAAGAATTTCAGGAACATGGAAGAAGAAAAGTGCACCTTCAGCTACAGGTATCAGACTATGTACCTGGGGTATCAATTATCTCCTGAAGCACTGCTGACCAACTCACTCCACAAAGATATTTGCTAAAAGTGGAAAATGACATGGACTAATTTGTTCTATATGATGAGTAGAAGAAAACCTTACAGAGCACTTATATCAAGCAAAGACAAGTGAGGGACAGAGGGCCCATCTACCCTCTCCCTGAAAGAATCAGAGCCCCAAAGCCAGGTCTAAGCCCTCCTGCTTAGGAAGGATAGAGCCAACAAGTCCCACGAACAAGTGGACCACAGTGTTGCAGTCGTCAGTTCCTACAGAAAAAACAGAT